GCCTGGACGCACCCCCGTGCAGGGCCACCCAGGACGATGGTTTTCTTTTTAACTACAAATCCTAGCATTCCCAGCCAGCACAGCCATCCTCTTTCATCGCCTTGTTATGGGTTTGTTCCCCCCCCCCACTTTGATTAGGATTTCCTTGCACGGACGTCGGTTGCACGGTGCGCGTGCATTCACATTTCCCCTTGGAACTGGGGAGAGGGGGAGGGAGAAGGTGGTGTAAGAGATTTTGCTGCCCGAGGCCAAGGGCAGGTCTCTCTCTCACACACATACACACACGCACACACACGCGCACGCACGCACGCACACACACACACACACACAAACACAAACACAAACCCAGTAACACAACTCAAAAGGCATGGAACCTGTTTTCGTACAGTTTAACCTTGGCAAGGAGACCAGGTTCTTCAGATACACATTTATGGATTTACAGATAATTTAGCTGTAATTGGATGCCATCAATGCAATCCTGACATGGTGACCTCTTTTTTTTAGGGTTTTCCAGGCAGAGAAGACTCCGAAGTGGCTTCCCCCTTCCCATCTTCTGGGTGGGACTCCTAGGACTGTGCCATTTCCCCCAAGGCTATGCAGGCTGGCTCTCTTTTTTTCTTCCGTGGTGGGGAATTTGAACTCCCAACCTCGCGCTCTGCAGCTGGATAACTAAACCCCTGATCTATCCAGCCAGCCATATGCATATGTATATATATATTTCCCATGGCAGCTTTACATGAAATGCTTTTATCGTGGAGGAATATATTGCAGTTTGTGTCCTTCGTCTTTGTTGCTCAAACTTGACCTTAAGATTCCCCCTTATTCAGGGTGCCTGTGTCACAAAAAAAAGCAGGGTGGCGATGACAGAGTTGGGGGTACTAGTTTGTATAAAATGTCCTATCCTAATTTATAGGTACAGAAACGAAATAAGAAGTCGTTTTAGTCATTTAGTGGAAGGTAGTAAGAAAAGAGGAAGGCTGGGTGTGAGATGGATTCACTCGATAACAGAAGCCGTGGCCTGGGGTTTGGAAGAATCATGCCCTGTCTCACCCGGATGGAGAAAACTGACCAGGTGCCTTTCCTGCTTCCGGCTGAGTCTGTTGTCCAAGTGCTGGGCACGGTGGATGATGGGCCACTTAAGCTTCAAATTAAATTCGCCTTCTTCCAGCACACTTTCAAAAAGAGTATTTGCAAACTCTCCGAATTGAAGTCTTGAGCGCTGTGAATAAATCCTCGGGGGCCACCGGAGCTTTTGGTCTCCGTGGGGGAACAAGCCGGCAAAATAAGGCTCCAGACCGATATAAAAGTTGGAAACCTGGCCTTCCGCCATTCCCCGTTCCACCTCTTAACACTGGCTTCGCTCCACGTTGGAGACCCGCCTCCGGCTCCCGGTGAAAACCCGGGTTGTTCAAGGTCTTTGGAGCACGGTTTTACATTTAGCCCCTTACATAAGTGCCAGCGTAGAGACTGAGAATGTGAAACAAGGACAGGGGGAATCTAAGATCGCCCAGCAAGGGTTACGTCACACTGCATGTAATTTTAATTCTTAAAGCAAAAATATAAAGATATATTTCCAAAGGAAAGGGGCTTCCTTCCTCGTTTCTGGAGAGGCCGAGCTTCTGCATTCTGTTTTCTGTTTTGCAATTTGTTTGTTTCGAAAGAAGCCCTCAAACAAAGCTTTCACACTGCATTGTGTCCTGTTTTGATTCTGGGGCGAGATGCAACCGCAGGCAGCTCCTGCAGGCCGGGAATTAAAAGGGTTTTAAAATATATATATGTATACACAGTATATGAGAATAGCTGCCGAAATGACCCAGGGAGAGGGATATTTGAGACCCAGCAGCTCAGAGGGGGCATTTCTGCTGTGCTGGGCGGGAAGGTGACCCCAGATTTGCAGGGTGGAAATTTTGGGGAGGAAGCTGTAGGGCCACCCTTGACTCCGCTGAATGAAATACAATCCGGTTGGAACAGCAGCTGCAGGAAACTGCAGGGGAGCAAAACTGGCCAGGGCGGTCAATCTCTCTAGAGTAGAGGGTAGATGGAGGAGATTACCTGTTTCTCCTAGCACCAAGATTCTTTTTTTTATTTAAAAACTTGCCCAAAGAGCGTTAAGCGGCTTTTTTCCTTCTTTCTCACATTAGAAATTCTGGTGTACGGAGGATTAGGAAGCAATCGCAAAAAACTTATCATCAAGCGGTTTCATCGTTTAACGAGGCAATCGTTAAGCGAGGCACCACTGTATCCTTTTGATAACAAAAACCCAGAGAAGGGTCACCGTAAGACAGAATTTATTTAGTGGCACATGATTATTTTACTGTAGGGACACCTCCTTAAAATGTCAATTTTCAGTTTTGCAGAGTGCAGCATTAAGAGGGAAATATACTTGAAAAGTGAAAAGCACAGCTCTTCCCCCCCCTCCCCGCCGTTCAGTTTTGGTTTCTTAAATTAATGACAGTAGATGGAATGTAACTCTTGGTCTTTTCTGTAGAAAAAACACTTTTGGAGATATTTCCTTGAGTCAGTGAAATGGCATACTCCTCTGTGGAAAATTCTTGCTACTTAACACGGTGCCGGGTTTTATTTACTTATTTAAAATATTTTTTACCCTGCCTTTCTGTTTAAAAGGACACAAGGCGGCTTCTGACCATTAAAAAGACAACATTTTTAAAAGCTAAAAACAGGGGGTGTACAAATATTTAAAAATAACTTAAACAAGTATTCTATCAAAGATGGTCAATAAAATCGATACTAAAAACACATTTGAAAAACAAGAATAGAACAATTCGTGAAAAAAAACCCTCCCACTCAGGCCGCTGGTCACTAAGGTCCAGTGGGTGGGCCTTCCGATCTCAGGAGGAGTTTTGTGCCTCTGCTGACCTTTTGCCCTTCGTTACAGGCTATGCTAACGAAGTCGGGGAGTCCTTCAGGGCGATTGTGCCCGTCTCTTTGGTCTGGGCCAGCTATGGCATGGCAACGGTGTACGTGACCGCCGATGCTGTGGACAAAGGGAAGAAAGCAGCCACGGTGAGTAGTGAAAGCTCTCCATCCCTCCTTGTCTCTCTCTGCTTTCAAGGGAAGAGCGTTGGTGCCTTTGGGTGGCTTTGCTGCTTTAAAGGTGGGGCAGGACCAGAGAGGGGCAGGGTGACGCTGAGTTGGCGCTCAGCGATGGGGCTGACAGGGAAAGGGAGAAAGCCCGAAACCGAAGCTGATTTTCCCCCCTAAGGTTACAGCTTTGCAAGGAGGGACATGCATTTTGAGAACCCTGTTATTTCTGTCCTTCCAAGGGCGTGCTATTTTAAATTCCTTTGAACTCTCTGTTTCACGTGCCTCCGTGATTTTAAATGGCGCAGTGCTCCGAGACAGGGAAAGAAATGATGCGCTCGTAGGTGCAGGATCCAGCGAAACGGGGGCAGAATCTCAGAGGTGGCCCACACATTTTGCACAGAGAGCCCCCTTTTTCAGCGCGAGGCATCTCCAGCCGAAAAAACAAAGGATGCTGCTGAATGTTCTGGGATGGGTCTGTGCTGGGACACTGGAACGCTGCTGCCGGTCAGAGCTGGCCGTGTTGCCTTGCCAAGGTCAGTCAAGGCTATAAGGCAGCCTTTGTGGCTCCTTGTCCGGAGGCACTGCCGTAGAACTGGGATAATTAAATTTACAAGCCAGGGGGAAAAACCCAAGGGCTCTTGCAGGGGACATTGAAACACACAGCCTCTAGATGGTGTTGGACTACAAGTCCCATCGTGACTCAGCATTGGTTATGCTGGCTAGGACGGATGGAAGTTGTTGTTGGATACATCTGGAGGTTGCCCACTCCTAGCCAAGGGGCACTAGAGGGTTTTATCTGGAAAGTTTGATGGGAAGAGTGAAAAGTGGCTTTGTCCACACCGGCCACGGGGACTTTGCCCGGCTGAGCAGGGATTTGAATCCAGGCCTCCCGAGTCATGCTGCTGAAATATGACAAAAGTGTGCTAAAGGTGTGCAGACTTATTGTGTAATAAAAGCTATTCACCAACTCTGCATCGAGCTTTAATTTAGCAACTAGCTGCACAGCTATTTTTCCCCTGCTTATATAAACCCTAAGATCAAAAAAGCCACGGATAGATAAATTTGATCCATGAAGTCAGCTTTCATCCTGTTTTCGGTGTCAAGAGGGGAACCACGTTTCTGGGAACAAGGATCCGAGTTCTTTCAAGGCTTCAGTTTCATTTAAAATGAGACACACACACACACCCTTTGAGTAGGTCTCTCCTTCTTTGCTCGACAGGCCACGCCAAAGGAAGACGGACGGACCACGCGTGCAGCAGTGGCTGTCGTGGACACGTTTGTCTGGCAGGCCCTGGCGTCCGTCATCATTCCGGGGTTCACCATCAACCGCATCTGTGCAGCCTCCCTCTACCTCATGGGCCGCATAACCCGCTGGCCCCTGTCGGTCAGGAAGTGGACGACCACGGCCGTCGGCCTCTCGGCGATCCCTTTCATCATCAAACCCATCGACAGGTATTGGGCCCTTTCAGTTTGGGGGGGGTGAAAGCCAGGGTGTGCGGTAGATTTCAGCGACACACCTTTCATGATGCCAGACTGAACCATTGTGTACCAAAGAAGCCTAGTGACGCAGGGGTTAAACTGCAGTCCTGCAGCCAATACTCTGCTCACAACCTGGGTTCAATCCCAGGTAGCCGGCTCAAGGTTCACTCAGCCTTCCATCCTCCCGAAGTCAGTAAACTGAGTACCCAGGTTACTGGGGTGGGCAGCCATGTGTAGCCTGCATAATTAAACTTGAACATCCCCTCCTGAGTGTGCTTTAAGCCCTGTGGGGCGGTATACAGTGGTGCCCCGCATGACGACGATAATCCGTTCCGTTAAAATCGCTGTATGGCGAAATCATCGTCATGCAAAAAAACACAACCCATTGGAATGTATTGAAAACCAGTTAATGCATTCCAATGGGGAAATACCTCATTGTCCAGCGAAGATTGCCCATGGAGAACCGCTGATTAGCTGTTTAAAATCGGTGTTTTGCGAAGCTTCTGTCCGGAAAACAGCCATTTTGCGAAGGGAAGCCATTTTGCGGAACTGGAAAAATCATCGTTTTCCGAACAACAGTTCACGAAGCAGGTTCCTTATCAACGTGAAGTGAGGAAGAAAATCACAGCGGTTTTCAGTTGTGGCTTCTGAATTTTGTCATGTCACTGCGAATACATAAGCTTTTCAACTGAGTTTAAGCGTAAATGACACGAGAACGTCTTAGCATTTGGAGCTTCCGGGATAAGAGCAGGAAGCTCTCGATTTGTTGACATGGATTGTTTCCATCGCCCAGATCCACGTGATGCTGACATAAATATAATTTTGCCTATCATTGTTTAAGCAGTGTGTGGAAGTATTAATCTGGCAGGAGACGGACTCTCAGAGTTGGCAGAGCATTCTGGGAATTGTAGTCCAAAAAAATGAGAACTTTCCCAAGCTTTGTATTTAAGAGTGTGACCTCCGTTGGTTCATCTCAGTAAAGAGGGATCCGCCCTCTTTTTGGGGAACCCGATTTCTCTAAAACAGGTTGGTATTCACCTGCAAGGGCGGGCGCCCTCCCCCTGCCTCCATACCCACCCACCCCCCGGGCTAATTCCATCCTAAGGCGAGAAAAAAAAGTATTTCAACATCGGAATTTTGTCCTAAAACAGCTTTTTTCCACATTGCATAGGAAAGAACCCTGGCTTAATTTTTTTTCCAAACTAGATCCGTATTCCCTTCGGTAAAATACATAAATAAATATATACTCTCTGGCCAAGAGCCCAGCTTGTCTATAAATAAACAGGGCACTCAGAGTGTGCTTTGGCCCTTCCGCATGAGGGTACGATCATGTTCTCTTCCATTGATCCGAAATGTCATGACTTATTAATGTCGGGCGGCTTGTGCTGTTGTTTTTCCACATTATTGGCGCCCCTGATCGATGGAGCCGGCGAGTTCACTTTTGCTCTTAGCGGCCTCCCCCACCTCCCCGTGTTGTTCCATCATCTACAGCAAATGGAGGGAATATTTTTACTGGCAAATTAAAATATTAAACATAAGCGAGCTTTCGAGTCCAACAGAACTCTTCTTCCTGCTGAGTATCACAGAGCTTCAAGAGGAGAAACGGAAAAGCCCCGTGACTTATCTTCATGGGATGTTGCGATGTTCAGCTCTGTAAGATCTGGTGAGGATCATTTTTAAAATTTATTTATTTATTTTGGATTTTTCTGTTTTTCACTAGCCCCTCGAGTTCTGTGATGCCCAGCCTGAAGAAGAGTCCTGTTAGGCTCAGAAGCTTACCTACTTTAAATATTTTAGCAGGCCAATAAAAGCAATGGCAGCTATTCCTTGTATATTTTCCCTTCTGTAGCAATTCATAGAATCTAGCCAGGCTTGCTTCATCGCACATCTGCACTATGTTTTTTTTAATTCCTGCGCAACTGTGATGTAATCTTGGAACTTTTCTGCTATTTAAAACATTTTTGCCGCCCTTCAGTTAAATGTCAAAGGAAAAGGTCATGCCTGAGAGGAACAGGCAAACCCTTCGTCTTCCCCCCAAAGAGATGGAGGAGGAACACAGACGGATCATGTTTTATACAGCGGTGCCTCGCTAGACGGTGATAATCCGTTCTACTGAAATAGCTGTTTAGCAAAACCATTGTCTAGCGAAAAGCATTTCCCCGTTGGAATGCACTGAAACCTGTTTAATGCGTTCCAGTGGGGAAGAATCATCATTGTCTAGTGAAGATCGGCCATAGGAAAGCCGCTTTGCGAACCACCAATCAGCTGTTTAAATCGCTGTCTTGCGAAGCTTAGGTCCTGAAAACACCTGTTTTACGAGTGCAGAGGGAGCTGTCAAGATCATCGCCTAGCGGAAATCGGTTTGCGAAGCAGGTACCAAACATTGTCCAGTGAAATTCCCCATAGGAATCACTGTTTTGCGAATCGCTATAGTGATCGCAAAAAGTCAATGTCTAGCGAAAAAACTGTCATTCGGGGTAACTGTCTAGCGAGGCACCACTGTACCTGCATGGTTATAAGGTGCTCTGTGTTTTAAACGTGTGTCCCCCTGTAACCTAGAATTTAGTGTTCAGTATGGGCTTCTCCCAAGAGAATTCACACCGTTGCTTAAATTCCTGGAAAGATATTGCCACCACACACATTTTGGGGAACTGTGGATATTTTTGGAGCCCCTCCGCTGGCTTTCCTTCCACCCTAACTCTTTCTTGCTCTCCGGCAGGTCTGTGGATTTCTTGATGGACTCCAGCCTTCGCAAGCTCTACAAGACAGCGGAGAGCCCCCCGACGTCCTTCTGAGGGGGCTGCCCCAAACTCCATCATCTTGGGGTCCAACTGGGTGTTGCTTGCAGTTTAGATCGGTCGGCGTTGAAATAATGGAAGGTGAGGCCAGAGAAGGCCCCGCCTTGCGCGTCTGGCTGACCGCTGGGGAGGTGGGAGAAATCGGACGGGGATGGTATTCTGAGCGACTCAGGACTTGAACTAAGGATGAGGTCCATTTCATATCCTGCAAGAGCTGTTCCTTATTCTGCACTGTGATTCCCTCTCCCGTTGGGATACTTGCACTAACTATCGTAACTTAAGCGGAATGAGTTTTGATCCGTTCTTGTTCTTTGTTGAACCATCTTTTCCACCCGGCACTTCCGTATCATTACTTCTCTTCCAGCTGGCTTAATTAAAAATGACAGCAATAATGGCCCAAATCCAAAACTGTCGTGGAAACAACATGGACTTGAAAGCAGTCGCATAAGCCATTTTTGCTCCTCCGGGGCGCTCTGTTGTGTGCCCGATCCATCCAGGGAAGGATATATATATATATTATAGTAAACAACTGTAAAAATGTGGGGACCCACAGGAAATGGGAACATTTTCATCCACCCACCCCCCAAAAGGTGCAAGGGGAACTTCGTGAGCCAGCAGAGGAAAATGGATCCAATTTGGGAGTGCTAGGATCTGTTCAGAAACGGAGAAGCTATTTAAACCTGGCATTTGCGATTTTCTCTTAACATTTTATGCACAGTAGCTGTCTGTTTTTAATATATTCTTACTGTTTAGGAATTCTGTTGTATTTTCTGATTTTCACTACAGTCAACAACCCTAAGCCTCTGACGAATCGTATGCAGTTTTTTCATGTCAATAAATTAAGCCAGTACCCTTTTCGATGACCATAGAAGCATTTTCCTTAATTATTCAATTTTAAAAAATAATTGTATATGCCTTCTATGGCAATTGCCCGTCGTCTTTTTGCTTCCATGTCCCTTTTAGCTCAAACCTGATCCATCACATCCTCTCCACTTCGCATCTGCTCTCCCCACACAGTTATTTTCTTTAATATTTGTGCCCGGGAACACATCCTGCCCCTGGCGAGTTTGCCACTAAGACAGAAGCAATTTGCCTTTTCACAAGCATGGATCAGCAATTGGATTTTTGGCCACTGCAACTAAAAACAAATGGAAAAGGTTGTAAATTGGGTAAGAATTCAGAAGGATAAGGTTTTGGGACAGGATGAGCAGGGCGAGTCTAAAAATGGAATGCAGAGTAGCGCTGCAGTGAGGTGTCCCTTATAACCCAATTTGGAGAAAAACGAAAGACGGCGTGTTGTCGTACATCTTTAGGTGATGCAGGAAGAGCATCATTGAGAAAGTTCAAGATGAAACGCTGTTCTTTAGAAGCCTTTTCAGTTTCTGATTCCTGTGACTACCTACTGCGCTATATAGTAGATGGTCTTTTTGCCTAACGTAACATCACAAGTGGGTCCTAGATCAAATCAAGCCTGAACTATCTAGGGAGACAAACATCACGAAACGGAGGCTGTCCTACTTTGGGCACATCCTGAGAAGGCGAGATTCTCTGGAAAAAAATCAGCATGCTGGGAAAAGTAGAAGGCAGCAGGAAAAGAGGAAGACTGAACACGAGATGGACCGACTCTCTCAAGGAAGCCACTGGTGCGAGTTTACAAAAGCTGAGCAGAGCAGTTGAGAACAGGACATTTTGGAAATTGCTCATGCATAGGGTCGTCATGGATTGTGGACCACTGGATGGCGCATAACACAAACACATCACGAAGAACACAGTGCCATAAATTAGACCTCCCAATTAATTGGGCACAAAGGTATCTTTAGGGCATGTACTGAACGTGGTGATCCCCATCTTGCCAAACAGTAAAACATGATAGAACTAGCTATCAAAATTCCAGCATCAAATACTTGGCTAATATTCAAACATTCAGGGGAAAAAAACTGATTAATTTTTTTGGTGCAGGGGAACATTTTCCTGGGAAAGATCTGTAGGAAAGATATTTTTGAACTAAGTCATCCATCCAACTTTCCTTTTCATTGTGAGATGATGTCACAAAATGACCATTACTTCTGCTCTAGATCTTGATCCCCATTGCAATCATTTTATTTAATATTTATAACCTCAGAACTGCAGAGCTGGAAGGGGACCCGATGGATCACCCGAGTCCAGCCGTTGTCAAGGATTCCGAGTCGGGGAATTGAAATCCCTACCTGGGAGTAAACCTTCCAATTGGGTTTGTCCTTGATTCACATATACAGTGGTGCCTCGCTTAACGACGATAATCCATTCCAGAAAAATCGCTGTTAAGAGAAAACATCGTAAAGCGAAAATAAAAATCCCATTGAAACACATTGAAACCCGTTCAATGCATTCCAATGGGGTAAAAACTCACCGTCCAGCAAAGATCCTCCATACGGCAACCATTTTCGCTGCCTGTATAGCGAGGAATCCGTCCCTAAACACAGCAGGGAGCCATTTTAATCACCCAGTGGCCATTTTTAAAACAGCTGATCAGCTGTTAAAAAGCCATCGTTTTGCGAAGAATCGGTTCCCGAAGCAGGGAACCGATCATCGCAAAGCGAAATTCCCCCATTTAGACCATCGTTTTGCGATCACAAAAAGATCGTTGTAAAGCAGATTTATCATAATGCGGGGCAATTGTTAAGCGAGGCACCACTGTACGTAATTTTTTATCGTTAAGCAAGGCACCACTGTACGTAATTTTGTTCCAGCTTTAGACACTCCCTTCTCCCACCCCAGCCTGGCTGCCCATTTGTACGAACAGTGCATGCGTGTGAAAACAACAGTTCACCGGCGCAAAGGATCACCCAACAAGACGGGAAAGTTTTACTGAAGTGATAAGGTTACAGAAAGTGAACGTTAGGTTGTGTAGCCCAATTATGTAGCCACATTGTGGAAATATTCCTACATTTTATGTTCACCCAAAGCGTCAACGTTATTCTTTCTCAGGCGTGTCACTTTTCAGCTTGCAGTAATCCAGGGTGGATTCCTTGTCGATCTCCTCGGAAATCGCACGGGCCTCGGCCACCACCTGGAGCTCCGCGTGGTACGGCTGCTTGGGGCGGTCTTTCAGGAGCCGGTGGCCTTTGCTGGTCCGAGAGTAGCGGAACGTGGCCGTGGCCAGCGCGAGGAGAGCGCCCACAAAGAGGGCAGCCAAGATGCAGCTGCTCACGAAGGCCACGCTCACCAAGAGCAGCTTCTTCATGGTGTGGCACTGCCCTGAAGGACACGAGAAGGACAACGGTCTGGTGAGCTCCTCATTACAAGCAGGCCATAGCCGCGGAAACTGTCTTTTCAGGGCTTTTAAAAAAGGACATCGTGCTTTTCTTGGTATGTGCTATCAAATCGCTTCTGCCAGAAAGATGGTCAATAACGTGGGCCCTAGAGGAGCCTGAGCCCTCCCTGGAAGCAAAAATCATACTGAGGCTGCCCTGCTTTGGGCTTATCCTGAGAAGGCAGGATTCTTTGGAAAAGGCCACCGTGCTGGGAAAAGTGGAAGGCAGCAGGGAAAGAGGAAGGCCAGATACGAGATGGACCGACTCCCTCAAGGAAGCTACAACTTTTGAGTTTGCAAGAGTTGAGCAGCACTGTTGACATTTTGGAGATGGCCCATTTATAGGGCCGCCGTGTGACTTGATGGCACATAATGACAATAGGGTTATTGTGGTTCGTGAGATGTTCAATGAAGTAGTTTCGCCAGTACTAAACACACACACACACACACACCAAAATAGGTTTCCGTGGCCCAGCAAGGATTCTGAGTTACATCTGAAAGTCATTTGCTACGTCACACTGGCATGTTCACGTAGCTTGTTACAGGGCTCGAAAAATTATTTTTAAAAACAAACAATCGCTCCAAACCCATCCACTGATTGCCAGGACAGCAAACAATTTTTAAAGTAGTAACCACTTCCTGTTGCTTCAACCAAAACGTTTCTTAAAATATATATTTGTATGCTTTCTATTTCGGCAGCAAAAGCCAGCGCCGGAACGGCCCCATAGCTGCACCCGGACAGCTAGAGAAACAATGAATATCTAAAGAACGAATACATGACAGATACACAGCAAAGGCAGCCGATTCATCCTCCCATTAAGTTACAATAACAGTTTGGCTTTAAAAATACATTACTTTTGGAAACAGAAACTATGTACAAGTAATTCATTATTTGTGACTATTTAATTCCAAAGTCTAGACAGAGGGGAGGAGGGGAACAGACTAGCCTGTTTAGTGTCTCTGCTACGATTAAACCATCAACCTCTGAATAATTAGCTCCACGGTTGAGCGAAACTTTCTCCGTGATGCTCTTGGAACATGTTAAATGTGCATGTTCCTCATTGCAGCTCCAGGACAGACTTTTATCGGGGGAGTGGGTGGGTGGGTGGAAGGAACTTACCTTCAAACCACGGGACTTCCTCTTTACGTACCGCCAGGGGACCAACCACTTCACTGCTCAACCTTCCTTCCCCAGGAAATGCTGTTTGGAATAAAATAGGTCATGTTGAGGGGCAGGAAGGTAGCCAAGGGAGGCCCCTTAGAAGGCGGTCAAGAACGATAGAGGTATTTGAAGACAACTCCCACCAAATTAAGGCAGAGGGTAGGTACAGGTAGCCGGTGCCCTCCTGGGTCCGTCTCTGAACCCAGATGGCCAGGTTTTGGCTGGGCCCATCTTGGCTATAGAAGAAGACATTATGGATGATCTGTCATTAGAAAGGGGAATTCCTTAATTTGTGAAAGCATCTGAGTATCCAGCAGATGCTTCTCTGACCTCCGCTCATTTGAAGCTTCGCTTTCTTTCTTTGGTTATTTGCCTTCAAACAATAGCAGCCTGATTTTAGCTTTATCCACAGTATGCTATCTCCTTCTGCCCAGAGGTTAGTTAAAAACAAGACATAGAAGAAAGATACCTTTAACTTTTGCCAAATGATGAAATTCCACGGGGCAGTGGCTGTCACAGCAATCGCAGACAGAAGTCTTGGATGGTTCATCAACATTCTTCCATCTGCGGGGGAAAAAAACACCCTTTTAAAGATTTACAGGTGACACACAGCAGGTACACAAAACATCCGAGTCTTGAATAAACCTGTGCCAAAATGCCAGATTTTCCAAAAGAATGTGCAGATTTTGCAGAAAAGGGGTGCTCACCCACCTGCCGTTTTTCATTTGTATCTCCCAACTAGATCATGGAAAAGTTGTGGGGTTTGGGGTTTTTTCTTTTGTGTGTGTGTGTTCACCCACCTGCCGTTTTTCATTTGTATCTCTTCTCCCAACCAGATCATGGAAAAGTTGTGGGGTTTGGGTTTTTTTCTTTTGTGTGTGTGTGTGTGTGTTTACTACAGCACCAGAATTTCCCAAACTCAAATTGCTACTGTCTTCCCCTTTCATTTATTTTATTTACTTAAAATACCTTTCCCCCCTGTCGCCTTCCTCCTTAAAAAGGATCTTCCCATCTTTAAAAGACAATATCTGAAACTAAAACAGAAAGTGTACAAATACTAAAAAGAATCAAAGAGATACCGCTGTAAGAAACGGTAAACAAAATCAACTCTGAAAATATATTCAAAGCAGCAAGGCACAAGAATTTGTTTAAAAATCCCATCCGTGCAGCCTGCAGAGAGAGGCCTTTGCCTGCTTGCGGAAGGACAGCCAAGATGGGACAAGGCTGGCCTCCAGTGGTAAGGAGTTCCACAGTCTCTGAGAGCAGCCACAGAGAAGGCTCTCTTCCCGTATCCCCACCAGACACACCTGTGATGGTGGTGGGACGGAGAGAAAGGCCTCTCCTGATGATGTTAGAAAGCTCTAAATGTTGTTTGGCGTCATCAGATCCCTTCACACCACCCATTAGAAGGGTTTTGAGGAAGATGAGATATTCAAGAGTGACTTACTAGCGTCACCCCTTCCCTGTGAGGGATTTGAACCCAGGTCTCCTGATTCCTGATCCAGTCCCACCACCCTGACTCTCTTCTAGGATCTGGGATTCCAAAGAATAACTCTGAAAGCCATGCTCTTCACAGCCTACATTTGGTGGAAACCGAATGTTTTTGCATTAAAAAGTCAGGCTACCGGTCAATTATGGTCCATGCAGTCTGAGCCAGCACTCCTCCTCCATAAGGTGTAGTGGACGGAGTGAAGGACGGGAAGGAAGGAGGCCTGAGTTCGAATCCCCACTCAGCAGTGGAAACTCATCAGAATGGGAAAAGCCGTTCATTAAAGCCCACAATAGCTTGCGTTATAATAGAGTTGTCAGTCCTTAAGGCGCCACACACGTTTTCGTCTTTATATATATATCCCTTGTGTTTGGCCGGACAGGCTAGCTCCGACGAACACGGCCACCTCTTCCCACTTCTTAATTTTTTCCTGGGACACTCAGCCACCTCCAGGGGTGGGTGGGAATTGAAAACGTTGCCCGGATTGCAAAACGTCAGGGCGGTTTCACAAGGAAAAGCTTACCTGAAGTGACCTGAGCCCCTAGGCTCACAAAAATGTATATTTATTAAAAAAACATTTATGAGTTCAGCTTGTTCCATGGGAGGAGGAGACGTGAAACAGGGCGTTTCCTCTCCCCCTCTCGTGCGGTACAAACCGAATCCAGTTTGGCGCCAAACCCTTGCCGGCTTTTCCACGCTTCTCTGCCTCCCGCATGCCGGCCAATTTTGTACAGCTTCAAAATGTCAACCACGGAACAAGCGCTTAACACCAACCTGGAGGAGACACTGTCAAAGGAGCAGGTTTTCTTGCTGGAGGTGGTGGGAAGCTTGTCGCTCCAAGCCGTCACAAGGCAGTGAATATAAATCTGGAAAAAAAGAATTATTTTATTTTTTGCAGGAAAGTGAATAGCAGGGAATTTTAAACAGCCTTATTGTGCATGGTTAGTTAGATTTAGTCGATCAAGGGTAAGGAAGGTGCGGCTTAGGTACCCAAAGTACGGTTCCTCCACAAAACGTACTTTTAATTTAAAGGTTTTGGCCACTAGATGGTGCCAGCAGGCTTTCTAAGTTTTAAAAAAATATTTTTAATAAGGTAGCTCACAGGGGTTGGCATTGAAATGATTTCTGCCGTGCCTGATCAAGAAAAGGCAAGAATGCTGGGAAAGGTTGAAGACAGCGGGAAGAGAGGAAGGCCAAATACAAGATGGATCGACTCCATCAAGGAAACCCCAGGCATGAGTCTACACAAGCCAAGCTGGGCTGTTGAGGACAGGACATTTTAGAGATGGCTCCCACCATGAGTGGGAGGTAACTTGATGGCATATACGAAAAACTTATAACAACTGCTTGGGCATTTGTTTGACGGCTTGGTCTGCTCTGCGGATGGGCTGGTTCACTCTTTTTGCTGGTGATCGCTCTGTTTTGGTTCATTTCCAGCACTGATTACTTGGACTGAACCAAAGCAAAGCCTGCTGATTTCAGTTCCTCAGTGTTGTTAAGGGTCTTAAGAAAGGCGCCTTAGCCATGATACTGGGAAATTAAAAGCTGCCCCTGTTCCTCCATTGAGGGGCAGGAGAAGGAAGCCACGTGTTTAAGCCCATCAGGGCAGCGCTGATGTGCTGTAGCCTTTAGGAAAAAAAAGCTTTAAAATGGAAAGCTTCTGCTCGGAAGGAAAGGGGGGAGCAAGAAGGGGGATTTTTCTTCTTTGATTTCTTTCTTTTCTTAAGGGACACAGGCCAAATAAGGTGGTTTGAGGTCTGTATGCAATGTGGATCCAAGGATCATACCAAACGACACAGTGGACCTCTACTATGGGAGAACACGGACTTACTGATTTCCAAAAATCAGTTCCTACCTCCCCTGTGTCGCTTGCCAGCACGAAAGGAGGCACCCGCAGCGTGAACACAATTGCAGAGTCTTCTTTACGGAACCAGCTCGCATCCAAGTCTCTGGCGTAGAGGCATCTGTCAAGTGAATTGAACCCACAAGGGATAATTCCCAGGCTGCTGCGTGCATTCCCAGTCGTGGGCCAAGCCCCACAACTTGCACGAGACTCAGCAGGCAGGCAGCAACTTGAGCATTAGCAGCTATTTGCCACTGCAGTTCACTTCATGAACCCTTAAGGCTGGCATAAATCTCCAACTGGAATTGTGCAAAATGTCCCCAAAGCCACAGGGGTAAAAACCCACTGTTGAGCTGGGATGCAACCGAATAGCTCAAGTATCATAGCTGCGGAGCCAAAGGCTGGGGGTTCGATTCCCCACGGGGGTAAAAACCCACTGTTGAGCTGGGATGTAGCTCAAGTATCATAGCTGCTGAGCCAAAGGCTGGGAGTTCGATTCCCCACCGGGCCTTCCAGGGAGAAGAACCAGCCTGGGTGGCCTTGGGGCAGCTGCAGCACAATCCCAGGGCGCCCCTAGAGGAAGGAAAGGGTAAAGCACTCTTGAGTACTTTCTACCTTAAAAAAAACCCTGAAAAGGGTTGCCATAAGTTAGAATTTACATCAAAGTTGGGAGTTCAGTTCACCGCTGCGGTCTTATAAAACAACAGTCAGCCTGGGTAGCCTCGGGCCAGCTGCACCGTCCCAGAAGCAGCTGAATCACTTCTGAGTATTCCTGAAAAGGGTTTGCCATAAGTCATAATCAACTTGACAGCACTCAATTATTATTATTAGATCAAACAAAGCCTTGTATGTATCATATAGGAGCAAAACTGGCTAAACAAAGTCTTATTATATTTTGGGCATATCCCAAGAAGAAAAGATTCACTGAAAAAGCCAACAATGCTCAAAAAAGCTGAAGGCAGAAGACCAAATATGAGATGGATTGACTCCCATCAAGGAAGCCACGGCCATTGGCAAGCCATTGGCAAGAATAAGGAAGGAGGGGCTCCAGACAGGGCCGTTTGGAGGATCCCCATAACTCATAGGTGACTTGATATCAGACGTATATTACAGTGGTGCCTCGCTAGACAATGATAATCCGTTCCACTGAAATCACTGTTTAGCGAAATCATTGTCTAGCGAAAAGCATTTCCCCATTGGAATGTATTGAAACCTGTTTAATGCGTTCCAATGGAGAAGAATCGTCGATGTCTAGCAAACATCGGCCATAGGAAAGCCACTTTGCGAACTGCCGATCAGCTATTTAAATCACTGTCTTGCGAAGCTTAGGTCCCGAAAACACCCATTTTGCGAGCACGGAGGGAGCTGTCAAAATAGATGTCTAGTGAAAATTGGTTTGCAAAGCAGGGACCAAACATTGTCCAGCGAAATTCCCCCATAGGAATCACTGTTTTGCAAATCGCTATAGCGATCGCAAAAAGTCAATGTCTAGCAAAAAAAACTGTCACGTGGGGTAACTGTCTCGCAAGGTACCACTGTATTCCCAGAACTTCTAAATGGTAGAAAACAATGGGCGGAAACACTTAAGGACAGGGATGATGTCTCTCTTTGGCTGTTTCTGGTTTGGTAACAGAAATCAGAAGATTATCTGAAAGAGGCTACAGTAGGACCCCACATATCTGTAGGGGATCCGTTCCAAGCCCCTGCCTCCCAGGAAGGCTGAAAAAACATGGATTATAATGATTGCTCGTATTTTAATAGCAAACACGATTCATAGCATGGTCTCTGGCTCCCTTTATTGGCCAATTCTGGTAAATTCCTCTTTAGAAATAAATATATAGGATTTTTCTTTTCTTTTTAAAATATTTTTGGACCATGGATAAGCGAGTCAATGGATACTAATCTTGAGGATCTGGGGGTCCAACGGTACTATGATGAAACACCTTGTGTTGGTTACTTCTACACACATACCCGTTTACAGATACCTGGCCAGTCCACTTACCCCTGGTTGTCCACAATGATGTAGGCCCACCCGGAGCGGCTGAGGTGCGGAGTATTCGTCGCGTAGCATTTATCAATAAAGAGTTTGGGAAGCAGGACGAGATCTGCCCGGACTCTCGCTTCGACACGGATTACGGAGCCTTCCTCGTACACCTCCGGTTCTGTTGCGATGCTGAGGTCCTCTGAAGGAGGAGACCCAGGGGGTTAAAGATGCCAGTCAGTCAAGATTTTGCACACAGACCCCCGATGGAGAAGACTAGCCCAAATGGTACAGAATTCTGGGAAGTTCAGGTCGCTTGGAGAGGGAGGAGACCGGCGGCTCCCATTGTAAGAGGGTCTGCCGGACAGACCGCAGACCTCAGCTTAACGCTGGTGCTTAGCACTCTGGCAAGGAAAAGGAGAAAGCTGGGCTTCCCCTTTTCTCCGTGCCCAACTCACACGGAGCACCCTTCTGTCAAAAGAAGATCCTCTATCCCACACAGAGGCTTTCCGCACGGTCTGGAACCCTCACCGTTCTGGGTTTCTAATCCCGTGGAGGAAGAATCAGTAGATGTAGTAGATAAAAGTGTCAGACCAGAACTCAGGAAACCTGGGTTCAAATGCCTGCTTGGCCAAAGGAAGGCATTCGAGGGGCGGCAATGCTAAAACTATGCCTTGAACATCTCATGTGCTTCGGGAACACCGCAATGGTGACCACACGTTGGAAGCAACTGGAGAGCACGTAGCAATCCTGCTGCGGAGTGGCTGCGCGTGTGTGTGTTTGGGGACACGGAATGACACGCCGGGTGATGAGGCCCGAGAGTCGGTGGCTAGCTTTTCATGTTCAGGCACCCACAATTGCTCCTTACAATCCAGAGTGGCACTTCGTGGGACCGAGTGTCTGGAGGGAGGCAGGGGGGTCACTAAGGCTGGTCTTAGGGATGTGGGTTTTGCTCCCTTTACCAAACGCCAACCCTTCTCAGAAAGTCGAGGCTTCTTTCTCCCCCAAAAGGGTCTTCCCTACCCACATACATTCACACATTAACTCTAATCTCTCACTCCAAAGGCTCAAGGGGAAAAATAACGAGAAATAGTTTATCAATGATTCAACACGTATAAGGTGACCCATGACTGCCCTTCCCCAGAACACGCTTTGTGTCTCCCTTGGGGGGGGTGTCACGACCCCCAAGTTGGGAAAGACAGTTCTAGAGTGACCAGGACATGACCAGAAAGCTTGCCGAGGTCAGTCTCCATTAGAGTAGACCCACCGGAATCCATAGAATGTACTAATCCACGTTGATTCAATGGGCTTCGGTTGACTATGCCGTGCCACCGGATTTTGACCTACGAGTTGATCTCTCTCCCCCAACACACACACACACACACAAACACACACACACAGAGCCAGGATCCTACCATTGAGGACGCTCAGCGAGTAATTTATTCGGAGAGCCTCTTGGTGCCGGGTAGCTTTCAGAAACCGGATGGGATCCTGCGTCCTGGCGGCTGGGGAGCGCCGGTGCGTGGGGGCGCTCATCGGGGCTCCAGGGCTCGTGGTGGTGGCCGAGCTGCTCCACATCAGACCCTTGGCAGCTGTCGGGGAGTTGTGGGGTGGGGGGCGGTGAGGGTGGGCAGAAAGGAAAGGAAGATTTGGCTGGGCCAGATCTCTGTGACAGGCAAGAAGGGGAACAACTGCCCGCCCTCCTTTGATCCTTTTGTAAAAGGGGATGCCTCTGGCCCCTCTTTTGGGGATGGGGGGTCCCTCTTGGCCTCCCAGTCATTCTAGCCTACATCCTCCAGCAGCACAGCTGGCAGATGCAGCCAAAAACATCTGGAGGACAAGTGATTCCCCCCCCCCTGCTCTGTTGGTCTTTGCAGTTGGGATCCGATCGAATCTTAGACTGGCAGAGCCGGACGGGGACCCCCCGGATCACTGCGTCCAGCCCCTCTGAAGGAGGCCCATTGGAAGGGGGGGAGTCATTCTAGCCTACATCCTCCAGCAGCACAGCTGGCAGATGCAGCCAAAAACATCTGGAGGACAAGTGATTCCCCCCCCCCTGCTCTGTTGGTCTTTGCAGTTGGGATCCGATCGAATCTTAGACTGGCAGAGCCGGACGGGGACCCCCCGGATCACTGCGTCCAGCCCCTCTGAAGGAGGCCCACTGGAAGGGGGGGGAATAATCAAACTCCCAACCTCTGGCTCAGCATCAAGGGAGACCTCAACCCCTGAGCAGGACCAGCTCCCACCACTCCAGGGGAAACTCATTCCTCTCTGGACTCCATCGTCAGCGGTTCCCCCATCTTGGGTCCCCAGAGGTCCGTGGACTACAGTTCCCAGAAATCCTGGCCAGCACAGCTAGCGGTGAAGGCTTCTGGGACTTTTTTGGCCAAGAACATCTGGGGACCCAAAGAGTGGGAACCACTTTCCTAACCATTAGGAGGTCCCTTCACTCCGATTCTCCCTCTGTTGCCCAGAGCTTCCATTTAAAATTCAAATTCCCCATCTCTTTTAATGCAGAAATTGCCCTGTTTTGGTGTTCCTCGACTCTCAGGGGAGTTATATACCCTTCCATGCCAGGTCAAGGAGAATGGACTAAGTGGTTGGGTATCGTTCATCGACAGAAATAGTGGAGAAAAGTTCGCCTTGCTGGGAAGATCAACCCAGCATCTCAAGAGGATCCGACCCCTTTGCGGGCTCCAGGTTTGGACGTGACTTTAACATGGATTCGGACACCGTAGGGTTGGAACGCTTCTGGATTTTTAACTCTTTTCCCCTGACACCTCCTTCAAAAGGCGTTGCCTGGTAATGCCCAGCCTGAAGAGGAGCCCTGTTAGATTCTGAAGCTGGCCTGTTTTTTTGAAAAAATATTTTAGGGAACCGTCAAATGTATTACGGTTCCCTGGTTTTAAGAATTTCATCATTTGTTCACCAGCTTTGCAAAAGGTCAGTTCTGACTCCTGGCTCCAGTATACTGGAGTTATTAAGGCTTTAGCTAATTAACAGGAAGGCCAGAGACTCTTTACCACAGCGCAGCTTCTACCCCTATATCCCCAGTGGGGCTCAACTGACATCACTGAATTGACTGTGGGATTCCCTGCCTCATGATGCTAGGTGGGTCCCCCTCCTTACAATCCTTCCGACAGCAGGTGAAAAGCTTCCTTTTTAAGTGGGCTGTTAATCTTTGCAGGATTGGTTGTTGTTTTTTTTATTTTAAGAAAGCGATTCAGCCCATTTTATCAGTATCTTTTTTTTAAAAAAATCCAGTATTTTAAATTTAACTTTTTAAGCAAATGGTGTTTTTAAATATCCATTTGCTATAATTCTATTTCAGTGATAACCTCTATAATTATGATGATTTTGCACATTTATTTTTCATTGTTGTACGCGCTTTGTGTTCCTTTGCTGGGAAAAAAAAGGTAGGATACAAATAAAGCATTTAAACACATACAAATAATAATAAATCCATCGTTAGCTGCTCCGGCTCTGCTTTGACTGAACTTGTTTCAGCTTCCACTGCCACTCAGATCTGCATCCTTTTTTCCATGCCCCCCCCAACACACTGTCACAGTCTCATAATGACTTAAAAAAACACAACAGAATCCACTGAAAGAATGATCCTTTAAATTCAGGAAGTATATTGACCAGGTTAGTTCCTAACCATTATTCACTTTGAGACAGGCCTATACAATCCAGTTAAATCAATGAGGCTGGAGCATGCCACAAATCCCCTTACCATGATAGATTTTCTTGAAAAATCCCACGTCTGGAGTCGTGGCAGAAGGGGCACGAGAATCTGCTGGCGGGAAGCCCTCTTCTCGGGCCAAGACCTGGCCGGCTGAGGAGAGAAGGCACAAAGCAGCCGATCACTGAGGATCCCTACGGCTCGGCTCCCACCCCACCCCGAGCATTTTGTCTCCCACGCACAAGAAGTTAATTTCAATTTTTTTTTCAAGGTTTGCATGGGATAGGATGGGAAGAAATAACGGCAAAAGCTCTCCAGATAAAATCACCAGCCAAGCTGCCCTGGACTTACTCATCATCACAACCAGCAGCATGCCCCAAAGGCCGGCCACAACCACCCTCCTGCAGAAGGCCATTCTCTGGCTAAGAAAAGAGGAGGAACAAACCACCCCAGGAAGCCAGATGGCAAGGTGCCTTAAATTGGCTTTTCGGCAGGTCTTTGGAGAGCCCTGGAATGAGACACACCTGAGGCTGGGAACCTCCCTCCCTCCCTCTCTCTCCTATCTATCAATCTAATCCATATTCTTGCCACAACCACCCTCCTGCAGAAGGCCATTCTCTGGCTAAGAAAAGAGGAGGAACAAACCACCCCAGGAAGCCAGATGGCAAGGTGCCTTAAATTGGCTTTTCGGCAGGTCTTTGGAGAGCCCTGGAATGAGACACACCTGAGGCTGGGAACCTCCCTCCCTCCCTCTCTCTCCTATCTATCAATCTAATCCATATTCTTTCTTTCTATGACACACCTGAGGCTGGGAACCTCCCTCCCCCCCTCTCTCTCCTATCGATCTAATCCATATTCTTTCTTTCTTTCTTTCTTTCTTTCTTTCTATCTATCTATCTATCTATCTATCTATCTCTCTATCTATCTATCTATCTATCTATCTATCTCTCTATCTATCTATCTATCTATCTATCTATCTCTCTATCTATCTATCTATCTATCTATCTATCTAATCCATATTCTTTCTATCTGTCGATTGATTGATCAATCTAATCCATATTCTATCTATCTCATCTGATAAACCTCCCTCCCTCTATCTATCTAATCCATATTCTTTCTATCTGTCGATTGATTGATCAATCTAATCCATATTCTATCTATCTATCTCATCTGATAAACCTACCTACCTACCTACCTACCTGGAGCCCTGGAAGGGAAGTATGCTGTCCCCTCCCTTGACATTTGGGAGCCCAAACCGGGAACCCCCAAACCCCAGAAGCGAGGGGCAGAGCCTCCTGCTGTGACCCCAGAGGCAGGCGGTCGATGCCCCGTGGACCCCACCCGTGGGGGAAAACAGGAGGAGTGGCAGGTCTGGGGAAAATGGGCCAAGGAGCCAATCGGAAACTGCAGTCTATGGGAAACCCCCTCCCACCCCCTACCTGCCAATTCAGTGGGTTTTTGTGTGTGAGCGCACGCTGACCTTGAGCCACAAAGAGAGAGAGAGAGAGATCAACCACTGTATTTTATTTTATTTTACTGTGACCCCAGAGGCAGGCGGTCGATGCCCCCTGGACCCCACCCGTGGGGGAAAACAGGAGGAGTGGCAGGTCTGGGGAAAATGGGCCAAGGAGCCAATCGGAAACTGCAGTCTATGGGAAACCCCCTCCCACCCCCTACCTGCCAATTCAGTGGGTTTTTGTGTGTGAGCGCGCGCTGACCTTGAGCCACAAAGAGAGAGAGAGAGAGAGAGAGAGACCAACCACTGTATTTTATTTTATTTTATTTGACATAACTGCCCCATGAGTGCAGCAGCTCTATTCCGGACGGTTTGACAACCAGTTAAAACAAACAAACAATAAACAGGAAAAGCAAAACACCTAAAAGAGCCTAAAAACCAAATGGCATCAGAAACCGTTTCCCACTCACAGCTGGATGGGGGATAAGCTTCGCCGAGCGCCCTGGAGCCACCTGGGAATAAAAGCACAACTGCAACGGGAGAAATGGGAGAGTGGCGCCGTGGGATGCGACCCCCCCAAACCCCGCTCGCCCACATCTGTTGTTTCCTGTGCCATCAAGTGAACGAGCAACCCTCCCCAAATCCCGTCTTTCAACAAGCCCAGCTCAGCTCTTGGAAATCCAAGCTTGTGGTTTCCTTTAGGGAGTTGGTCCATCTTGTTTTGAGTCTTCCTCTTCTCCTGCTGCCTTCCGCCTTTCCCAGCATTATGGTCTTTTCCAGAGCATCCTGCCTTCTCAGGATGTGTCCAAAGTGGGACGGCCTCGTTCCACCTCTTGCCTCCTTTAAAACCAGCCTGCAAACCGACCAGAGGCTCGTTCAGTGGGAACTCTCTTGTCTTGGGGATTGAGTTTTTCCTCCCGGCTCCCCACCTGGCCCAATGGAGAGGTGGAAGCATGTGTTTAAGTCTTCATAAAGCTACTGCTTGATTTTGCCCAGAATTTGTTCCCAGGGAACCAGCCTAGTTCTTTCTGTTTTTACGTCCCTAGAAGGTGCCAGACAACATGCAAATGTTATGCCCAAGCTTGGAAAAGGTTGCCTTTTGGGGCAGGGGGGACAATTCCCAGAATCCCCAGCCTAGTATGCTGGGGACGGTAGTCCAGAAACATTCTGGAGCTCTGGTTTAGGGGACTAAGGAATGTGGGCATAGTTGGTTAACTCTGGGATTTCCAGTCTATACTGAAAGTGTGTGTGTGTGTGTGTGTGTGTAACAATTCCCAGAATCCCCAGTCTAGTATGCTGGGGACTGCAGTCCGGAAACACTCTGGAGCTTTGGTTTAGGGGACTAAGGAATGTGGACATAGATGGTTAACTCTGGGATTTCCAGCCTATACTGAAAATCTTTTAAGGCTTCTGTCCTGCCTGTTCTCTTAAGAAAAATGCCAATTTTAAATAGAAAAGGAAGCAAAAACAAAACAAAATCAAAGAAAAACAAACATTCTTTTAAGTGCCATCAGTATACGTACAATGGGAGCTTTCAGAGGGCTGGGTTGCACCTGCCTGGCCTACAGATACTACATAAAACAGCCTCTCGGGGCCAAAAGAAGTAGCAGCCCTACTTCAGAGCTGTTGCTAGAAGCCACAATGTCAATGTCAACCTTCAAACGATCCTATCCATAACAGCCCTGCTCAGGTCTTGCAAACTTCGGCCATGGCTTCTTTGATGGAGTTGATCCATCTCATATTTGACCTTCCTCTTTTCCTGCTGCCACCAACTTTTCTTAACATTATTTTTTCCAGGGAGTCTTGTTTTCTTGCGATGTTCCCCCCCCCAAAAAAAAACACACAATACCCACTTTCAGGCTGTTTGACTCCACAGGATTCAGCCTCGAACTTTCCAATGTTAAGCCCCCGAAGCCCTAGGCCTGGAGAGGATGAATCTTGTCTGCTCCTCTCCTCTCTCTTTCATGTGTTTTGAGTCTCACATTCTTTCCATCCCAGGGGTGAAGAAATGTACAAATGATTGTAAACTCTGACCAAAAAGGACACAAAGCTCTCACCCATCCATAGGTATGTAGGGGGCAAGGGGGGGAAGTCTGTCTTTGTGAAAAAAAGGGGGGCAGAAAGATGCCCCTTTCGCATCCGAGACTATCCTTGCTTTTTGATCCGTGGAACTGAGAATAAAACCAGTGGCATCGCCATGCAGTTAAGAGCGGGGAGAGAAATCGCCTGTCGAAATCGCTCACTTTAGGTGGTTTCAAATCAGCCCCCCCCTTTTTTGACCTTGCTTAGAGAGGAATCAACGGTGGGCGTGAGGGACGGCTGAGCCCTTGAGGCGCTGGGCGAGACTTTAACCACCTTAAGAACGGCATCCTTTCCCTTTCTCTTCCCAAGGTGCCGTGGCAAGGCGGCTCCACCGCCTGGCGTCTCAGGATCTCGCCCGGAGGTCCTTTCCTGCCTTCCCATTCACTGCCGGGCCTTGGGAAAGAAGCAGGGCCAGGGCGCTCAGTGGTTACAGCTCTGCTTTGCAGCTAAGGAAGGCCAACCGGAGCATCTCCAGACGGGACAGAGAAGACGCTGGTCCTGAAACCCTGGAGGGCACGGCTGCCAGTCAGTGAGAGCACTATAGAGCTAGATGGACTCTGGCCGAGTTTAAGGCAGCTGCTTAAGTTTCTTGAGAAGAAACATAGCAGCGGCTGCCAGTCAGTGAGAGCACTATAGAGCTAGATGGACTCTGGCCTAGTTTAAGGCCAGGCTCCTTGTTCCCAAGGATGAACAGGTCTTTTGTAAACCGAATGGCTCTTAATAGCCCATTCAGAATCAAGGCACCACCAACGACTCTGCGTTAAAGCAGGGACCGGTTACCATCCCTCCCAGCTAATACGAGGTTACAGAGAAAAAAGGGAAGGCTGAGGTGGGTCGTAGATCATTTTCTGCTCGCACGGGGTGCGGCCTCTGCCCAGGGTGCGCAGGGTTCCAGCTGCAACCAGAAACCAACGGCCATCCACCCTGGCTCGGCTGCGCAACCCCAATGCAGAGCCGCACACCAACGCAGCTTAGAGGGACCACTGGACATCACCCACGCTGCTCAAAAAAAATCTCAGGGACCCCCAGCGGCTGCACCACCGCGGCCCCTCTCCTGCCTTCTATATCTGGGTGAAAGACTTGGAACCAAAGCAAGCTGGTTGTCAGGCTGACGTGCCTCCAAAAAGCGCTAAGGAAGACCACCGGCACCACTGCTGCGGCTGGGTTTGGGTGACATTTATTAAGTTTACTCCACATCTGCACCGATCCATCGGAGGAGTCCTCCCCGGCGTTCCTCAGGCCCCGCGTCTCCTGAGCCCCAGCGCCCCTGCGGTACAGAAGACAGAGACCCCCTTGTGATGGCCGTGGTAGAAGCCAGAGCCCATGGAGCGCCCGGTAAGGACCCCCAACTCCAGGCGCCCCAATGGCTGGGGGCATCACGCCTTGCACCCGACCTGCCAGGAAAGAGAAAGAGAGAGAGAGAGAGATGGGGAAATATCTCCACGGATGCAGCGCTTTTAGCAGATCAAAACACTTTGCATAGTAAACACTTCGAAAAGTTATACTTTGTCTTGTAACATGACAATAAGCCTGGAAAGTATGTCTATATGAATCTCTGCCCTGTTGTCGGTGGGAGGCTCCGGGTGAGAGGGGCACAGGGACTAAATGATGTGTGATGTTCGTGAATACTTCTAGACTCGGATCCTATTGGCCTCGGTGTCCTCCCCTTTGTGTTTCCAAGGTAAAACAGGCAGAGTTGTTCCGGCTCCCAGCAGAGATGGATCAATGGCGGACACGTTGGGCTCTAGCCCACCTCGAGAGGAGACTCATTCCAGGCCGCCCACTCTTCTGCAGGGAGTCGGTACTCCCCTCCACTTGGTATAAGTGTGAATGTAGGAAGTGTAAAAGATCTGGCATCAGAGGGTAGGAAGACTCATTTTTGTGTCCTGGGTTTGCCCTTCACCCTTGGCTACGCCCACCTGGGCTATGGCTTCCACCACCCCCAATGCTGCCAACAGGCACCCCCTACATCCTCAAGCAATCCCCAAACCAGGCCAGCTGCTCCACCGATGGGCCCCAAGGCCAGGCTGTAGGAAAGACCTCCAGGCCCTGGAGCATACGGTTCCACCTAAGACTCTCCAGATGTTTGGGGCGCCACCTCCCCAGGCACCCAAGCATTAGGCTGTGCCACCTCGAGCTTATTCTTGAAGCCCCCAACATCTGGAGGGTGAAAAGACAGGGAGCACCGCCTTAGGGTAGAAAGGAAAGACAGAGCACC